ACTTGTCCTGTTTCCTGACAAACCTTACCTAACCTAACAATCTTTTGTTCCTAGTGTGTTTACGATACTGAAATTCATACAGGTATAGTTATATAAAGGGAAAGGGGGGACAAAAGAGATTGTAAAAATTATAGAGGAATAAGTTTACTGAGTATACCAGGAAAAGTGTACGGTAGGGTTATAACTTGAAAGAATTAGAGGTAAGACAGAATGTAGGATTGCGGATGAGCAAGGAGGTTTTAGAGTGGGTAGGGGATGTGTAGATCAAGTGTTTACATTGAGGCATATATGTGAACAGTATTTAGATAAAGGTAGGGAAGTTTTTATTGCATTTATGGATTTAGAAAAAGCATATGATAGAGTGGATAGGGGAGCAATGTGGCAGATGTTACAAGTATATGGAATAGGTGGTACGTTACTAAATGCTGTAAAGAGTTTTTATGAGGATAGGCTCAGGTTAGGGTGTGTAGAAGAGGGAGACTACTTCCCGGTAAAAGTAGGTCTTAGACAGGGATGTGTAATGTCACCATGGTTGTTTAATATATTTATAGATGGGGTTGTAAAAGAAGTAAATGCTAGGGTGTTGGGAGAGGGGTGGGATTAAATTATGGGGAATCAAATACAAAATGGGAATTGACACAGTTGCTTTTTGCTGATGATCCTGTGCTTATGGGAGATTCTAAAGAAAAGTTGGAAAGGTTATTGGAAGAGTTTGGGAGTGTGTGTAAAGGCAGAAAGTTGAAAGTGAACATAGAAAAGAGTAAGGTGATGAGGGTATCAAATAATTTAGATAAAGAAAAATTGGATATCAAATTGGGGAGGAGGAGTATGGAAGAAGTGAATGTTTTCAGATATTTGGGAGTTGACGTGTCAGCAGGTGGATTTATGAAGGATGAGGTTAATCATAGAATTGATGAGGGAAAAAAGGTGAGTGGTGCATTGAGGTATATGTGGAGACAAAAAACGTTATCTATGGAGGCAAAGAAGGGAATGTATGAAAGTATAGTAGTACCAAGACTCTTATATGGGTGTGAAGCTTGGGTTGTAAATGCTGCAGCGAGAAGGCGGCTGGAGGCAGTGGAGATGTCCTGTCTAAGGGCAATGTGTGGTGTAAATATTATGCAGAAAATTCGGAGTGTGGAAATTAGGAGAAGGTGTGGAGTTAATAAAAGTATTAGTCAGAGGGCTGAAGAGGGGTTGTTGAGGTGGTTTGGTCATTTAGAGAGAATGGATCAAAGTAGAATGACATGGAGAGCGTATAAATCTGTAGGGGAAGGAAGACGGGGTAGGGGTCGTCCTGGAAAAGCTTGGAGGGAGGGGGTAAAGGATGTTTTGTGGGCGAGGGGCTTGGACTTCCAGAAAGCGTACATGAGCGTGTTAGATAGGAATGAATGGAGACGAATGGTTTTTGGGACCTGACAAGCTGTTGGAATGTGAACAGGGTAATATTTAGTGAAGGGATTCAGGGAAACCGGTTATTTTTATATAGCCGGACTTGAGTTCTGGAAATGGTAAGTACAACGCCTGCACTTTAAGGAGGTTCGGGATATTAGCAGTTTGGAGGGATATGTAATAGGACGGTATATATATAATTGGGGCCCTGATATTATATTCCATAGGAAGTTTATAATAATATTTCAGGTCACTTTTTATATTGTATCTTTTATATAAGTGTTGTATCTGGGCGCCTCTGCAAAGACAGTGACTATGTATGAGTGAGGTGAAAGTGTTGAATGTTGATGAAAGTATTTTCGTTTTGGGGATTTTCTTTTTGGGTCACCCTGCCTAGGTGGGAGACGGCCGAGTTGTTGAAAAAAAATATTTATAATAAGTTTACAGCACCATTTACCCAGCTGATGCTCTAAAATGTTGATTTTTATTTATTTCCAGTTATCTGTGAATGAATTTTGCTGATTATCGCGCGTCCGTCAATGTGACTGGACATTGTTTACCAAATTCTGGAATACAATGATTGTGATCATCCAAATGATTCTTAAAAATATTTAATTTTCCAGACCTTAATTTATTATACAAAAGTAATTAATAATATAATGAACAAAAAGGCACAATACCGTGACTGTAACAATACACAATAACCTGCACATAGGAGAGAGGAGCTTACGACGACGTTTCGGTCCGACTGGACCATTTACAAAGTCACACCAAGAGAAAAGAGGTTAGGTTAGGTAAGGTTTGTCAGGAAACAGGGCAAGTGTCTCCTGACGCGGGTTTTAGTTAGATGATGACTAGCCATTGGAGCTTTCGGTTATCTGACCGAGGCCTTCCGCTGGCTTACCGATTCACCCCTTTAAAAATGATGATCATAGTTACAACCATTTCTATTATTATCATCAAGAGAAAAGAGTGGTAGTCAGTACATGTAGTCGAGCAAGTTTATGTGTACCGGCTCTCTCACTCTTTTCTCTCACTGTGACTTTGTAAATATTCCAAATCGGACCGAAACGCCGTCGTAAGCTCCTCTTTTCTATGTGAGCGTTATTCGTGTAATAACATAATCCGTATATTGAATTTTAAGCAGCCTTGAAAAGTGCCTCCACGACTATCCACATATCTAACTAACACATATCTGCCTTCTCACTTGACGAAGTAAATGTGTACCCGGCGTGTGGCTGCAGAAAGGGGCAAAACTCAGTTTCCTAGATTTATATGATACTGTAAAATATATCAAATCGGCGTATTTTATGAGTTAAACGGTGAAATAGGCACGTAAATTGAATAACTAATGTCTCCTCGTATACCAATAAATAATCTTCAGTATCAAGGACTGGGTCGGGGGGGCGTTGACCCCCGGAATACCCTCCAGGCAGGTAGGTAGTTAAACCCACATGTGAGTGTCGTAGCCAGGGTAGATAGTTAGATCCACATGTGATGGTAGTAGCGAAGGTATGTGACGCCTATTGGCTGCCTCACTCGTTTGTTTATTATTCATTATGATAAATTAGACACATAAGGGTCATAGAATGCCTGGGGGTTTGGGAGACATTCAAGTTCGATCCAAAAAAGGAGAGGAGGTCAAGTTTAATTTCTCGGACCAAGAGCTCGTCACCGACTGACATGTGGCAGAAGGCAGCGGTGAAAAATTACCCTTTGTCTGCCATTATGTCTCCCAATATGACAGATTAAGTCTCATCTACACATAATTTAGACTTGTTGCTATCTCAGTAGTACCAGTTACCAGTAGATGACTCACTACCAACCGTCTGTGTGAATCACTGACTGTTATTCACGTTGCTGCCGACCATAGCATGTTTTTGAACACCGCTCTAGGCACTGGTGGGTCAGTCTGAGATAGAGAGCAGAGAGAGGCAGGGCGGCTGATGGTGCTTCCCATACTTTCCGTTATAATTATACGTACTAACCAGCCTACGTGAGTGTTTTTACCCCATCCACGTTATCGAACCCACATGACAAATTGGTGACATTGGTGTGGGCGTGGATTTACGGGTATTTCCGACGTTAGAAGATTGTTTGTGGGGTGCCGGCAGGTCAGAGGTGAACCGTCTGCCACCTCCAGCTAGCCGCTTACCACCCTGTATCACTCCAGCCTGCAAGCAAGTTGCAACCGTCTTTCAAGCTTCCTGGCTTAGTTCCTGTGCTAATTGCTTCAATCTCCGAGGGGTTGACCCGGATTTTGCAATTAAGCCAGCCAGTAAGTCAGTGTGTGGGAGTGAGCGCCAGTCAGCCTGCCTCAGCCTATCATCCAGCCTGTCTCCTGTCATCCACCTGCTCCTTCATGCTGTGTGCATCGTTACACGTCTTCCAGTCAGCTATTGTCGTGGGTTAAGCCAGCATGACAACCCAGCTTCTAACCCAGCTGAGAGAGAGAAGTAAGCCACGCAAGTTCCTCTGAAGTATTGTCTCATATATCGCTTTGTGCTCCCAGTTGGATGCTAGGAGTGGCCTTCACCATCACTGTGGCATAGTGTGGCTTAGTTAAGCCACCTGGAGTGTGAGTGGTGAGACTGTGCGCCAGTGAGCGCCAGCGAGTTGAGTCACTCTCCTTTCACCCACCCGCCACCCACTCTCCTCATCTACCTGTGGGTTTTTCCACCCTTGTACCGGGTCCAAGTACTTTGGCTCACATAATTGGTCAAGAGATTGTAGCTGTGCGCCAACGATAAAGCCAGTTATGTGAGTTCACCTAGAAAGCGCATTTCTTCACAACAGTGTGAGTGTAGGAGGAATCATCACCCGCCCACAGGACCACGTCTTCACCTCATCACCCGTCACCGCCCGTCTACCACTCCAGACTTCAGCAATAATTTTCTGTTTAGAGACATTTTCCTGCATTTAAAAACATTTGCGTGTGTGAGACATTTACAGTGAATTTTTTGTGTACTCTAAGCCTTGTGTTTTCAGTGTAGACTCAGTGTTTCTTTGACTCGTTATTTTTGCAATATTTTTCAGTGTTGTCGCTCATCTTTGGTGTTTCACTTTTATATTTTTTATGACATAATTTAGACTTGTTGCTGCTGCAGGTCTAAATTATTTGTCAAATGGCAGTATGAAGACTAAGAAGTGGTCATTTGTGCAAGAAAGGTATAAAATACCGACAATATGAAAGTTAAGACACATGTGTAACATCTGGTTATCTTCATTGTAGACGTTTCGCCATCCAGTGGCTTTATCAATACAGATTCTAGGACATAATTAGAAGACAGTAGAACTATATACAGAAGGTGAGGTAATCAGTCCCTCAGCCTTGGAGTTGGTGTTGAGAACACCGTGGTGGTAGAGATTCTGGAGCAAAGGTAAGGAGACTGGCGGTTATATAGGCGTCAGTGGATAGGGACGTGTAGCAGACGAGGGCATAGTCACTGTAGGCGGGATTCCCCAGTGGAATTAGGTCCTACCTAAGGCTACTACAACTAACCCATCCCTTTGGGTAGGATCTACTTCCACTGGGAAATCCCGCCTACCAGTAACTATGCCCTCGTCTGCTACACGTTCCTGTCCACTGACGCCTATATAACCGCCAGTCTCCTTGCCTTTGCTCCAGATTCTCCATCACCACCACGGTGCTCTCAACACCAACTCCAAGGCTGAGGGACTGATTACCTCACCTTTTGTTTATAGTTCTACTGTCTTCTGATTATGTCCTACAATTTGTATTGATAAAGCCACTGGATGGCGAAACGTCTACAATAAAGATAACCAGATGTTGCACATGTGTCTTAACTTTCAAGTGGTCCTTTAACCACAAGTTTTTTTACATTTGAAAAATAAACGTCTGGGAAACTTTCCCTGTCACCGTGTATATGTTCTCACTTGATTTTTTTTATCCTCGCTACGATTTCACAATATTAGTTTTTATTTCAACATTTCACATTCTTCTTTATCAATGGTTTAGCAACATAAGAACATAAGAAAGGAGGAAAACTGCAGCAGGCTGTGCCCATACTAGCAGTCCTTTAAATTCTCCACTAAAAAATTTGACAACCCAATTTTCAAGTGCTACCCAGAAACATTAGCTCTCGATGTGAAAGTCCCACTCAAATCCAACCCATCCCATTCATGTATTTATCCAACCTAAATTTGAAACTACCCAAAGTCTTAGCCTCAATAACCCAACTAGGTAGACTGTTCCACTCATCAACTACCCTATTTCCGGTTCATATCAATGCATACATACGTCACATTTTTTTTCTAATTTGTGTTCATTGTGGTAGAGAAACCATTGGGCTTCTCACGGCTTGTAAGTCTTCTCGAACTCGTCTTTCAGAAGAAGAAATTAAAGTGACATTTGAGTTTAATGCTCCCACATCTAGTTAACTTCCTCTTTGCCTGACAAGAACAGCTGGTGGAGAAGTAACGGTTGTTTTTAATGTACATCTTCAGGCACCTTAATGAACTGAACTCAGATATTCAGGGTCGCAAGCAAACCATGGTTAATTTTGATTACACAAAATAGTCTTAAGAGCAAAACAGATGGTTAAAGGAAAGACTGGATCAGCACTGCCAGAACTGAACGCCTCTGCTGGAAGTCTCTCAGTAGTGTAAGTTAACAACAGTTCAGTGTTGTGAACTCAAAAGACATTAGAAAATTTATCTGTTACCATACCTTGAAACTCTCGATGGTATTCTGGGCAACACTAGTAGAATAGGCGTACTGGTGGCCCAGCACCACCCAGGTGATGGAGAGGAACCTGATGCCGTGGAGGCAGGTGATCACCTCAGGGGACCTTGCGCTCGTCACCTGGAACAACTTTTGAATGTTGTGACTGACGGAGAACACCAGCAGGTACTGAAGGTGTCCTGGTAGAAAAAGACAAATTTCACATGAATAAAATTATAAATTGTATTGATTTTGAGTTGAAGAAATAGTTATAGATGAAAATTGCAACAAAAGACTGCTCTGAGAATGATAAAAGAATATGGAAGGGATAAAAATAAATTAATTGTATTGGGAAGAGAAGAAACTTACCGAATAAAACTTCGAAAATAAGATAATGACAATGTAAATATCTCAGGAAAGCCAGAAGGAAAAAAAAAAAAAAGGATTGAAATAAACAAGGCAGAAGGACAGCAGTAGCAAACCAGGTAGAAACAAAGTAGAAATAAACGGTAGAAGGAAGAGATGACAAAAATATCTCTTACCTTTCCTATAGTGGACTCGAGTAGGTGTAGAGGCGCTGTATAGGTCAAGCAGAGTGGCTGCTGCCAACACAACCACCATCACACCCACCAACACACTGGTACATACACACGGCCGCTTGGTTAGTGTTAACAATATCAACTATATGAGAGTTTAAAGCCTATCGACTACACGAGGGTCATTAAGGTTGCATGCAACCTATGCAACACTAGTCACTGATACTTGAATTCATACAATGAGAATTAAAATAAAATCTGTGTATACATAGAGATATGTATCTCTATGTATATAAACTGAGATGTGTATCTCTATGTATATACACTGAGATGTGTCTCTCTATGTATATACACTGAGATGTGTCTCTCTATGTATAAACTGAGATGTGTATCTCTATGTATATACACTGAGATGTGTATCTCTATGTATATACACTGAGATGTGTATCTCTATGTATATACACTGAGATGTGTATCTCTATGTATATACACTGAGATGTGTTCTCTTCACTGTGTATATACACTGAGATATGTATCTCTATGTATATACACTGAGATGTGTATCTCTGTGTATATACACTGAGATGTGTATCTCTATGTATATACACTGAGATGTGTATCTCTATGTATATACACTGAGATGTGTATCTCTGTGTATATACACTGAGATGTGTATCTCTGTGTATATACAGATACAATGGGATGTGTATCTCTGTATGTACACACAGATATACATATCTCAATGTATACACACGAAGATTCACACGTCTCATTGTATACACAAGGAGACACACATCGTTCATTTTATATGCACGGAGATATATACCTCTCAGAGTATACACACGGAGATGTACACCTCTCAGAGTATACACACCGAGATATACACCTCTCGGAGTATACACACGGAGATATATACCTCTCAGAGTATACACACGGAGATATACACCTCTCAATGTAAATACAAGGAGATGTACACCTCTCAGAGTATATACACGGAGATATACACCATTCAATGTATACACACCGAGATATACACCTCTCAGAGTATACACACGGAGATATACACCTCTCAGAGTATACACACGGGTATATATACCTCTCAGAGTATACACACGGAGATATACACCTCTCAATGTATATATACGGAGATATGCACCTCTCAATGTATACACACGGAGATATACATCTCTCAGAGTATACACACAGAGATATACACCTCTCAATGTATATACACGGAGATGTACACCTCTCATTGTATACACACGGAGATATACACCTCTCAGTGTATACACACTGAGATATACACCTCTCAGTGTATACACACGGAGATATACACCTCTCATTGTATACACACGGAGATATACACCTCTCAGTGTATACACACGGAGATATACACCTCTCAATGTATATACACAGAGATATACACCTCTCAGTGTATACACACGGAGATATACACCTCTCAGTGTATACACAGAGATATACACCTCTCAGTGTATACACACGGAGATATACACTTCTCAGAGTATATACACGGAGATATACACCATTCAATGTATACACACCGAGATATACACCTCTCAGAGTATACACACGGAGATATACACCTCTCAGAGTATACACACGGGTATATATACCTCTCAGAGTATACACACGGAGATATACACCTCTCAATGTATATATACGGAGATATACTTCTCTCAGAGTATACACACGGAGATATACACCTCTCAGCGTATACACACGGATATATACACCTCTCAGTGTATACACACTGAGATATACACCTCTCAGTGTATACACACAGAGATATACACCTCTCAGCGTATACACACGGAGAATATTTCACCTCTCAGTGTATACACACTGAGATATACACCTCTCAGTGTATACACACAGAGATATACACCTCTCAGTGTATACACACAGAGATATACACCTCTCAGCGTATACACACGGAGATATACACCTCTCAGTGTATACACACAGAGATATACACCTCTCAGCGTATACACACGGAGATATACACCTCTCAGTGTATACACACTGAGATATACACCTCTCAGTGTATACACACAGAGATATACACCTCTCAGTGTATACACACAGAGATATACACCTCTCAGCGTATACACACGGAGATATACACCTCTCAGTGTATACACACTGAGATATACACCTCCAGTGTATACTCATAAGTTTAACTCGTGTGTATTATACAGTTTTCAATTATAATGTTCTAAAATTCTAATTCTAATCTTAATATATTTTTTCTTGCTTGTTGACGGTATGTTAATAGTTAAGAAACAGTGGCAACTTCTAATTTTTCTCTGTTCAAGGGATGTTAGGTGTTTAAAAGCTCAGAGAGACATGTGCAAACAGAATGACGGAGTCAAAAAGATAAGCAGAAAGGCAGACAGAATGACAGATTTAACCAGAGAGACAATGATAGAGAAGATACATACAGGCCGGTGATCTCTGATGAGTCCAGATGGTGAGGTTGGTCCACTTGACACTCTATGGTCTTTATCTCCAGACCAGTTGGTGCCATGGCTGCCTCCACAGTGTCCTGTGAGCAAGAACCGTCTCAGTGGTGTGAAGGTGGAGAGAATTTATTTGGAGATGTAGTTGCCAGTGAAGAGGACAGAGGTGAGGGAAATGCAGGCGAAGTGGTGGAGATGCAGTTGCCAGTGGAAGGGACAAAGGTAGGGGAGATGCAGTTGCCAGCAGAGGGGACAAAGGTGAGGAGATGCTAGTGAGGTGTGGAGGAGATGCAGTTGCCAGTGAAGAGGACAAAGGTGAGGAGATTCTAGTGAAGTGGTGGAGAGATGCAGTTGCCAGTGAAGAGGATAGAAGTGGGGGAGATGCTAGTGAAGTGTGGAGGACATGCAGTTGCCAGTGAAGAGGACAAAGATAGGGGAGATGCTGGTTGAGAGAGGTAGAGAGTACCTAGAGACGAAGCAGATGAAGGAAAAGGAACGCAGGTAGAGGGCTCTGGAGTAGAGGACTCAGGGAGATTTTTTTCTTAATAAATTTAGTACCTTGAGCTCAGCTGGTGTACATGTGGAAGGCATGCAGGTGGCGTAGTAGGAGAGGCTGATGTACTGTGACAGAAGGGCGGAAACTGAGGGCGTCCTGGGTGCTGGCCTCAGCCTTCCTCTGCCCACATCATCTTGCTCACTGGTAGTGTTCCCAGCTCTAAGCACAAGACACCCAGTCATGGATCAGTCTTTATTCCTCGAACAAGCATTTCCAGCGCTACAAAAATACTCAATCATAACGTAGTTATTTCATTAGTTCTATAAATTAGTTATTCCGTTAGTTCTACAAGTTAGTTATTCCATTAGTTTATAAACTAGTTATTTCGCTAATTCTATAAAATAGTTATTTCTTAGTAGGATTTATAACTCCAATACATGGACAGGTGTTCTTTTAATCTCTTAATTTATACTTTCAATCCTTTTTTTTCTCTGTTTACAGTGAAATATTGTGCTGATCTGCCGAGGAGTAAATGACCAGCGTTGGAATAATGGTATACCATTAACAGCGGTGATACAGAGGATTTTACCTCCTTGCACATATATTGGCACTCTGACACTCACCCGTAGGTCAGTAGACAGTACTGCCCCTGGAAGTCGGCGTCCAAGTTTAGAGAAAATTCTGCCTTCAAATTCTGCTGCTCTAAAATGTTACCTTGGCGGCCAAAGCTATTTTCTTCGAATTCTGGAAGGTAGCCGAGGATATCTTGAAGACGAAGGATGTTTTCTTCGAATCCTGGAAGGTGGTCTTGGAGGTCTGGATCAGAGGAGAGGTGTTTGGTCTCTGGAGAGACTCGGAGGCTGACACACTCGGTGAAGAACCCCAGCAGCAGCTGGAAATTTCCCACCAACACACCATCAGCAAACTTTCCCCAGGAGTCTATCACTGTAAAAGGAATTAGTATCCATCTGCTGAAACTCAAACAGAAATTTTGCTAGCATTGTTTCACTAGTGAAGACAGGGTCACATATCTTGCTTAAGTAAAGAATATGAAAGTTACAGTACCATGGCCGGAACAATTTACAACTAACTCAGAAGCTAAATGATGTTTTTTCTTTCTCAGACCATTATCAGATGAAAATTTGATAATAGTCCAGGAAGGACCGAAACATCATTTAATTTCATCTTCAATCTGTGTTTCCGTTGTGAGTTGTTTAAATTCTTACCAATGAACCGTGAGTTAGAAAACAGGTGAAGCCTCTGAATAGAACTAAAAGTGTCTCACGAAATCGTAATGACACGATTGCAAACAAACCATACCACAGGTGGGGCTTGAACCCGCGGTCAGAGAGAGTGGCAAACTCGACGGTCTGGAGTTTTGAAACTCTCTGACCGCGGGTTCAAACCCCACCAGTGGTATGGTTTGTTTACTAAAAGTGTTCCACTGCCTTTCTGACACTTGTTCAATAAGATAATATTACCTAATTAGAGGACTGTTCTTATCTTGATTAGACTTTAACAAACTTATCTCAACACTGACTTATGAACTTTTCCACAGTAATGAAACATAATAGATACCCCGTGGCCTGGTGGCTAAAGTTCTCACTTCACAGGACGAGGGTCTGCTTTCGATTCCCAGCGAGGGTAGAAACATTGGGCGTGTTTCTTAACACCGGTTGTCTATGTTCACCCATCAGTAAATTGGGTACCTGGGAGTTATCGACTGGTGTGGGTCGCATCCTGGGACAAAACTGACCTAATTTGCCCGAAATCCTGTGTATAACAAGTGGCTTTCTATATGGTAGTATGTCACTGATGTCAGCTATTACTGTATACCTTGTACATTTTTTTTTTTTTAACAAGTCGGCCGTCTCCCACCGAGGCAGGGTGACCCAAAAAGAAAGAAAATCCCCAAAAAGAAAATACTTTCACCATCATTCAACACTTCACCTCACTTACACATAATCACTGTTTTTGCAGAGGTGCTCAGAACACAACAGTTTAGCAGTATATACGTATAAAGATACACAACATATCCCCCCAAACTGCCACTATCCCAAACCCCTCCTTTAAAGTGCAGGCATTGTACTTCCCATTTCCAGGACTCAAGTCCGGCTGTTTAAAAATAACCGGTTTCTCTGAATCCCTTCACTAAATATTACCCTGCTCACACTCCAACAGCTCGTCAGGTCTCAATACCATTCGTCTCCATTCACTCCTATCGAACAGGCTCATGCACATTTACACGTACATGTACATGTACTTGTCGTAAATAAAGATATGATTATTATTATTATTATTATTAGTATAGTGAAGACACTCTTATTAGCTTCAGCGAGTTTGGGAATTTGGATTCTTTGGAATAGTACTATCATGTGTGTGGCTGATACTCTCAACACCCACTCCAGCAGGAAAATGTCTCCTGACGCAGGTATTTTGTAATGTAAAGCCCCGCCGACTGCTAGGCAGCTGCTGGCGTACCAGTTGTAGGTTTCCCACTCCACTGAAAGTGATGTTATATCAAGAGAAATGGAGTCATATCTCTTAACACAAGTCACTGACACTTTATAGTTATATAATGATACTGGAGCTTTTATTCATATGATCGAGGTCTTCCCTGGCTTACTAGACCATCCCCTAAACCATATTAAGTACCACATCACAAAAGGTAATGTTTAAGGTAACTTTAAAAACAAATAATACTTTCTCGCATCATAAGATAACTTGATCATGAAAAGTATTACCACGTATGGTGATTTATTTTAACTCTGTGGAAAGCCTAGCTCTGGCATGCTAGCGGATAAACCATACCACGGGTTCTAACCCCACCCGTGGTATGGTTTGTTTGCAATCGTGTCATTACGATTTCGTGAGTCAAGCTAGTGAATGTTTGATCATGGGTTAATAGCAACTGTGGTATTTGCACCCTAGCAGTGAAGAGAGCCAGTCACTCCGCCACGGACTCTGAATCTGTGACCCTGACTCAAGGACACAGCTAATAAGCATGGACACAGTTTTTAATGAGCCACAATCCGGTTATCGTATGATCATCATATGATCTGATAACACAGTCGGGTCATGACACTCATGCTCTCGTCTGGGATGTTATGTCATCAGTACCCGCCTCGGAAGACTTTTTTTTTTATACTAGGAAAACACCACCACTTCGAGATCTTCCCCCACACCTACACTCACACCTACACTCACACCTACACCCACACCTACACACCTCACCACCCTACACTCACACCTACACCACACCCACACTACACCCACACCCACACCTACACTCACACCTCACAACCACCCACACCTACACTCAACCACCTCCACCTACATCACACCTACACCCACACCATCACACCTCACCACACCTAACACCCACACCTACACCCACACCTACACTCACACCTACACTCACACCTACACCCACACCTCACACCTACACCCACACCTACACCACACTAACACACCTACACTCACACCTACACTCACACCTACACCCATCACACACCTACACCCACACCTACACTCACACCTACACTCACCCTACCCACACCTAACCCACACCTACACCCACACCTACACCCACACCTACAACTCACCCAACCTACAAATCACACCTAACCCCACCCTACACTCACACCTACACTCACACCTACACCCACACCTACACTCAACACCTACACCACACCTACACCCACACCTACACACTCACCCCCAACCTACACTCACACCTACACCCACACCTACACCCACACCTAACACACCACACCTACACTCACACCTACACTCACACCTACACTCACACCTACACCCACACCTACACCCACACCTACACTCACACCTACACCACACCTACACTCACACCTACCACACCCACCACCCCACACCACACCTACACTCACACCTACACCCACACCACACACCCACACCTACACCCCACCTACACCCACACCTACACTCACACCTACACTCACACCTAACCAACACCCACACCCCTACACTCACACTACACTCACCACACACACACCTACACTCACACCTACACCCACACCACACCACACCCACACTCACACCTACACCCACCTACACCACACTACAACACCTACACCCACACCTGCAACCACACCTGCACCACACCACTACACACACTAACCCACAACCTCACCTCACACCTACACTCACACCTACACCACACCTAACCCCACACACTACATACACCACAAAACCCGCACCCACACCTACACCCACCTACACTCACACCTACCTCACAACTACACCACACCTACACTCACACCTACACCCACACCTACACCCACACCTACACTCACACCTACACACCCACACACACCTACACTCACACTACACTCACACCTAACCCACACCTACACCCCCACCTACACTCACACCACACCTACACTCACACCTACACTCACACCTACACCCACAAACCCACACCCACACCCACCCCACCTACACCCACACCAACCCACACCTACACCACACTCACCTGACACCCACACCTACACATCACACCTACAACCCCACCACCTGCACCCACACCTACACTCACACCTACACTCACACCTACACCCACACCTACACCCCACACCTACACCCACACCTACGCTCACACCTACACTCACACCTACACCACACCTACACCCACACCTACACTCACACCTACACCACACCTACACCCACTACCTACACCCACACCACCAACTCCCCACCTACACCCACACCTACACCACCCCACACTCCCCTCACCACCCCACACCCACACCTACACTCACACCTACACCACCACACCTACACCCACACCTACACCCACACCTACACCCACACCTACACCCACACACTACACTACCCACACCTACACCACACCCACACCTGCACCCACACCTACACCACACCTAAAAACTCACCCCCCCTACACACACCTACCTTCACCTACACCACACCTCACCACACCTACACCTCACACCTACACTTACACCCACACCTACCAACTCACCCCACCTACACTCACACCTACACTCACACCTACACCCACACCTACACTCACACCCACACCCACACCTACACCCACACCTGCACCCACACCTACACCCACACCTACACCCCCTACACCCACAACTACCCCACACCTACACTCACACCTACACTCACACCTACACCCCACCTACACCACACCTACACTCACACCTACACCCACACCCACACCCACACCTACACTCACCACCGACCTACACTCAAAGCACCCACACCTACACTACACCCACACACCTACACTCACACCACCCACACCTACACCCCAAACCTACACCCACACCTACACCCACACCTACACCACACTACACTCACACTCACACACCTACACCCACACCTGCACCCACACCTACACCACACCTACACTCACACCTACACCCACACCTGCACCCACCACCTACAACCCACACCTCACAAACCCCTTCCTACACTCACACCTACACCCCCACACCTACACTTCACACCTACACACACTCACACCTTTTCACTACACCCCAAATACACCCACACCTACACTCACAACCTACACTCACACCTACACTCACACCTACACCCACACTACACACACCTGCACCCACACTACCCACTACCCACACTGAACCACACTCACATCTACAACCTCACCCAACACCGACACCCACACCCACCTACACTCACCACACCACACCTAACTCACGCCCACACTACACTCCACCCACACTACACTCACACCCATCACTAACTCACCTACACCACACCTAACTCACGCTACACTCACACCTACACTCAAACCTACACCCACACCCGCACCCACACCTAAACTCACACCTACACTCACACCTACACCCACACCTACACCCACACCTACACCCACACCTACACTCATACCTACACTCACACCTACACTCACACCCACACCCACACCTACACTCACACTTACACCCACACCTACACTCACACCTACACTCACACCTACACTCACACCTACACTCACACTCACTCCCTACCTATCCTCTCCTCCACGTACATTTGAGTGGCCAGAGAGTGTCAGTCTGAGAGAGGTGAGGCCAGGCAGCGAGGGCAGTGTACAGAGCCAGCAGGTCACGACGACACTCTGGGTTGGCAGAGGCTGGGTCAGGCAGATATAGAGGGGCCAGGTCAAGCAGGTAGCTACGAGCCTGGGTCACTAGTGAGGTCAGGGAGCCAGGTCTAACTGCTGGCGTCTTCTGCTGTCTGTGAAGAAGGAAAACTGGTGAATGGAATGATCGACTTCTTTTTCAAGGAAATTCCATGATGTTAGTGAAGGGCTCTTCATCCAAGGAAGTTGGCTATCCCTACTGTCTCGTCAACTTATAAGATAAGCAAAACATCCAACAAAATTCTACTTATATTCAGTATACATTACTTTCCTATATGCTTTTTAACTGTTCTTATTACAGAAATATTTCTTTTCCATTTTAGTAGGCCTGGTCTGAGACCGGGCCGCAGGAGCGATGATTTCCTGAACAGTTGGGCTAAGAGATATAAAAGATAACAAACAGTACACCTCAGTAAGTAACATGATAACGCGGCCGCTCAAAATAACTCCCTCTAACTTATACCCGATAGGGTCAATGACCCTCATAACTATACTTCAGTGTGTGATTTTTAACACACCCAACATCATATTTGATTTACTTTGACTTGGCTCCTTGGTGCCATTTTATTTACATGCTTGAAGGAGGCATCACGGTCTGCTTTGTGGTGACGGTGCTGCGTGAACTTTGGCTCCCTCCAGGTGAACATAACATACCGAGGCCAAACTAAGCCAGCACTGCCTAATGTGATGAATGAAACACTTGTGCAACACTTGGGTATCTTTAATTAAAGATGTCTATTTGTTTCACTAGCGTCTCATTTATTAATTTGTCAGTTTTCTGGACCATTTATATAACACTGTCTAGCGTGTCTGCCATGCATGATGGCCTCGAATACTCCTTGTTTCCACTTGCGTTGAAGTCGAGTCTACCGGTGGAGCTGTGGCCCGAGCAACACACTTTTTTTGGTGGGGATAGAGGTGGAACCTCTGCCGGCTCCGCTGAATCAATCGGTTGGTCTTACATTGCTTGCCACTGTGGTGGGTCATTGTAATGGCTAAGGCCAAGGGAACATAGAGACCTCGCAGCCTTTTGGTCCTGTGGCTGTCCTCTGCTGGCCACTCACGTACACCTTTCTATTAGTCCTGGGATAGTTTGTCTTAGTAAGAGTTAAGCCTTTACTTGCTTGACTCTGGTGGTGGGTGGGGAAATGTAAAGCTCAAGTTTGATTATTTTACGAATATTGTAAATGGTTCCTCTGCACCGTCCCAGACTACGGCTCAGCTTCTCCTAACTCACAAAGGCAATTGCAATGTCTTTTCGATATCTCGACATCATTCCTCACTCAGCAGTCCACAGTCCATTACTCTACTTGCTATTCAGTATACCGTAACCTGATATTTATCGACCTTCTCTTCCTACCTCACTATAACCTAATGAAGTCTGCATGCAGGGTTCCATTCCTACTACATAAAGTGTTTGGTCAAATATTGCTTATAAAATTTATGTTTCTGCCCAACCTGGAGGGTACATATATGCCTGGTTTATAGATGACTCTGGATTTACCCAGTAGCCGGATAACCTACAAAAGTACACTTGCTCATCGAGACTGCTACACAATATTTTCCATGGGACTAATCAATTCACAGATGCACTCACCGTTCACGAGACAGCCTACATATTTCTGTTATCATGTACATGTGCTCGTTTTCCACTCCCATGAAGGTGTATGCAGTGATTCATATTATGTCCCCAGGCCCCTGCCCTTTCCGAGATCTCGTATCTATGGATATGTGCTCCTTTTTACTTAAGCAGTTTCAACTACACTTCACATGTTACTGCTGTGCGCCACTGATGGTTCTAAATCCCCTTATGGTGCAGGATACACAGCGGGGTTTCGCGTAGTGTGATACACGAATGTCGGATGTGGCAAGTACGTATATTCACGACAGAGTTATACGCATTTCTTGACGCTTTCATCTGCGTTATTTTTCTTCCCGCTTCTTCCTTTGTTACAGTTTCTGGTTATTACGGTGCGTTACAGGATCTTCGAAGCTTTGACTCAACGCTGGCTTTGTCACCACTTAGATGAGCATAAAGACGTCGTCTTTGTGGCGTCCAGAGTAATAAACTTGAAGACTTTCCTTCATGTTCCACTGTTCAGAACCTATCAGTCTCTCGCAGACTATCTTCCAGTTTTGTTTCGGAACATTCAGGATAGATGGCAGTGACGTTGATCTGCGCGAGAGAATAGCAAGCTGTTATTAATCAACATGACTCACGAAATCGTAATGACACGATTGTAAACAAACCATGCAACCCGTGGTATGGTTTGTTATTAATCAAACCACAGTCGAATTGTTAATCGACTTCTTATTGTCGCTGTCAAGTTTCTTTGTGCACACAAAACACTCGCACATAGCTGTCACTTAGGTGAAACTTGTCTAGTCTTGACTTGCACTGTTTATCACAAAGCACGTAGAATTTATATCCATTTCTTATTACAGCGCCTGGGTGTCTTCACTTGGCCTATTATCTTTTCTGAAAAAAAAAAAAAACTTTTCAAAGCAGATACTGCGACTTTTGACTAACATTGACTTGTTACGCTCGCCTTTGACTCTCTTTCTTTGTTCACCTTTTATCCCATTTACCTGTAATTTCCCTCGGCTTTCCATCTCTTCATGACCCGTAAGGGTTTGGCATTTTTCTGAATAATAATAATAATAATAATAATAATAATAATAATTATTATTATTATTTTTATTATTATTATTATTATTGTTATTATTATTATTATTATTATTATTATTATTATTATTATTATTATTATTATTATTATTATTATTATTATTATATTTGGTCTAGTCCTACTAGGTTATGTTAACATTTCTTAGATTTTGTTTGGTTAGGTTAGATTAGGGTGTCAGGTTAAGCTAGGTTTAGGTTGTGCTCGATGCCTCCTACATCTCAAGAAGCAGAGCAAAGGTCAGTGATGTATGAAACTAGATTTAGAAAGTACACAGTGAAGCACGGGATTGTTTCCCCACGAGGGCCCTGAACGCGGGTGTCATGTGATCGTCTCCTGTTCGGTAGGTTATAAACGTGATTCCCTGTGTGTTTGTAGCCCCTGGAAAAAATAATAATAATAAAGGTTTTATTTAAAGTCGCCTACATATAGAACACAACACTTAAGCATCGATAACAGTATAACAGCAACTCAACGAACATATATAATAAGCTGAAATATTAAATGTATGATACAGTGCATTACGATGTTGTATGATACAGCAATTTCTCTCTCTCTCTCTCTCTCTCTCTCTCTCTCTCTCTCTCTCTCTCTCTCTCTCTCTCTCTCTCTCTCTCCTCTCTCTCTCTCTCTCTCTCTCTCTCTCTCTCTCTCTCTCTCTCTCTCCTCTCTCTCTCTCTCTTTCTCTTTCTCTTTCTCTTTCTCTTTCTCTTTCTCTCTCTCACCTGACCATCTCCTCCAGAAAGTGCTGCAGACGAAACATCTCATTTAGATCATGCTCCTTCAGCTTGGGGTCATCTGACCCCACACGACCTGTCTCTTCACCCCCTGCCTTCCCGTGAACTTTAACCTGGTCACCAAGTGAGGCAGGAGGGTAGTGAAGGGCTCCCGAGCACCGAGAAACTAAACCAACGCACAGGATCGTCAGAATTCCTACCATGGTTCCAGTCATTGTTGTTGGTCAACTTTATGTCTAGTCAAATCAGGCAGTTATGAAGCTCTGTTTGGTTTCTGTTGATGAATAAAGGAAGCTAGATGAACACAGAAGTAGGTTCACTTTGCCAGGTTTCCTTCGTAACTCTTAATAACACAATTGCAAACAAACCACAGATCCCTCCCGTTCTGTGATTGCCTTCGTAAATTAGATTTCGTTAGGGATGAACTAGTATTGGACAAATGCCTACATTCAAGAATTCTGTCTACTTGTCTAGTCTTCCCCGTCACCGTCACAAGGACTTTCCCTTCCTGTAGGATCGCCGGTGCTATCCCGGCCCAGGTCTTCTCCAAATGTTGTCCCGGCTGGCAAAGCGGACAGGAACGTCTTCAGAGCCGTGATGACTCTACCCAGCACTGCGAGTGTACGAACACCCGTAATGCAAGCCAAGCCTTCTAAGCCAACCTTTTGCCCAGGACTAAGTTTTACTGTCAAAAAAATAGTCTTGCTGTGTATTACTTGTCTTGACGCACACTTATGGGAGAATTGCCACAGCTACTAGCTACACTCCAGGGTTTATAAAATGCTTTCACGGCACCTCCCTCACCACTAATCTAATCAGTTTTGTTGCGGGCAGTTATGAAAAATATCGGTCATCATGCTATCATAGGCAGAGACAATCTTATCTAAAGTGTATTTTTTTTTTAAGATTTTGAGTTCGGCTTTCAACTGAAATGTGCACAATTCCTTTGTTTTCTTAAATGGGTTTATAACCAAGTTGGGGTTTGCCAGGGGATTCTTACACATTGAACAAGTTATTCATCTGACTCGTGTCAGGAAACATTTTCATGATTCCTGAAGAACAAACGACCACCACTTCACCCTGCAAGTGAGACATATGATTAAATCTTTTTCCTTGCTTCCCTGAATTCCTGCTCTCCTACTACAAGTTCACTCGTACTGTTGTTGAAAGCGCTAACTAACAACAGCTTTAAGGTTAGTGATTAACTGTATTTGATCCCTATGCCTACATTCCATAGGTAAGATTAGAGAGTAGTACAAAGTGAACAGGAATGTTTGGGAGACATAATAGCATATTTTTTGAGAGAATGTCTATTGTTTTGGATTTTTTTAGATATGTTCTGGATGTGTGTACTGAATTTTAGTTTACTATGTGTATTCTCATGAATTTGCCGTCGTCCTGTCTGTCGATTGGAATATTCATAATCTTTATGTTCCAAAAAAAATTATATATATAGCTTTATTCCCAAACATTATGAAAAATTTCATGTTAATATTTGGTGTGAGTTTATTCGTTGTGATCCAGATATTTTTTTAAGTTCAACGTTTACAGTGTTGTTGAACGCAGCCAGATCGACATTTGAAGTGAAAAGTGGTGTCATTTGCTAAAAGAATTTATTTAAGTCCCTGTGAAACACGGGGAAGGTCAATAATATAGAAAATAAATAGCAGAAGACCCAGGACACTACCGTGTGGAACTCCTATGTTCATGGATCGGGTTGCTGAAGAACAGCCATTAAGCCCTGGCTCTATTTCTACGACTAAGAACACACCTCTCCAGCGCTATTCTCGGTCTGTCCGGTCTTCCCTGCTCATCCCTTTCATTCACCAAGGTTTTTAATGCCATGATGGCTGCTGCTGGGGATTGTGCCTTAGATACACCAGCCATCTTAAAAATTTTGTTCAGTTTTTTTTGAGTACTCGATCATCATCTGCAGCTGGTTTACCTGGAGTTTACCTGGAGAGGGTTTCGGGGGTCAACGCCCCCGCGGCCCAGTCTGAGACCAGGCCTCATGGTGGATCAGGGTCTGATCAACCAGGCTGTTACTGCTGGCCGCACGCAAGCTGACGTACTAACCACAACAAGATGATGATCTTGCAAGTGAAGGTTGTCTTATGGAGGATTTTATTGCTTCACTTTATTGTGATCTTACACAAACAATGATGACCAAGTCATCCTGACTCTCACTCTCATACTTTGTTATGTATATTTACTCAAATTAAGTTTAATTAACAACTGTCCATTAACAAACAGAAAGGTTCAGGCGGGGATCGAGCCGCCGTCCTCACATTTCGAGTCCGACGCTCTACCGAATGAGCTAACCAAGGAAATTAAACGGAAGTATTCAGAAGTAATTGTAATTGTATTATATTGTATTACAGTACAGTAGTCAAAAGGTTACAGAGGTACATAATGCGTCCAGGGACGGGGCCCCCAAAGTTTTGATAGCTGAACTAGGTACAAAGGTAATGAATCATGTAAGTAAATTTACTTACGTTTATACATGGCTACAATCATGAACAAATTATACAGTAATGAGCAATTCACACTTCCACACCCGGTCACAACTGTAATGAGTTATTGGTGCAAATATAAATTTTTGGGTCACACACACACACACACACACACACACACACACACACACACACACACACACACACACACACACACACACGGACTTAACAAACACACATACACACACAGGGACTTAACACACACACACACACACATACAGGGACTTACACACACACAGGAACTTAAACACACACACACACACACATACACAGGGACTTAACACACACACACACTGAGCTGATGTGGACGAATCTTGTTACTATAATTGACTACACACACACACACACACACAGGGACTCAGCATGTCGTTCCTGACAATCAACTTCTTGGCATACTCTGCTAATTCAGGCCTTTATCAGTTTTTGTGGTGGTCCTGAGCGCGTCTTGCTGTCCAGTTGACGTTTACCAGACGTATTAGTCTTCCTTAATTCAACCAGATGACTTTTAATCGCTTTCCTCAATACACTATTTTGGATATCATCGCAGGAAGTATCTATATCATTCTTGAATTCGGTCAGCATTGACCTGACCATGTTGATTGCCTTAATATCTCATTCTAATGTGAAACCAGTAGATGATATCCATGGGGTCGGTGAGACCGGAGCTGACAACTATGTCCATGAATGCTAGGGCATGGTACGAGCAGGTACCGCCGCCCTGTCGTACACTGCGAATAGACAGACCATTTGTGAAACAGGAGTGCTTTCTCTAATATTCTGTTACTACTTCGAAGGCGATCTTAGAAGAACCACCACCGTTGTAGTATAGCAAGGTCCCATTGTGGCGGGCATATATAGAAACAATGTGAGTGGCACTGTGGAAATTTATTTGGTCCAAATAGTTCCACAGCTCAGATCCAGCATGGCCGTCGGGATGGCCGAGCCGGACGGCCCTTAAACCCTCCCAAACAAACGAAGCATTCTCTGGTTGGCGGTTGTTGGTAAGCTTATTTAATTTATAGATTTACTCTTCAGGGAAGGAGTAGGTAGTTTACTGGTAGTACACTAATATTAGGTTTACTAAGGCATCTGTAGATAATGATAAAGTAGACCTAAGACCTTAACATAGGTAGTAATAGGCCGATAATGTAGGCAAACACTAGGATAAGTTAGCTGAGGAGAACTGGCAGCCCTAGCTTGATTGAGGAGGCGTGGGTCACAAAGACAGAATAGCGCCCTTCTTACGACAGACACCGACTGGACAAGATGTGCCATGAACAGCAGACGGCGCCCCCACATGTCTTCACATCTGAGACCTGGGGAAATCTGGTAGAGGCACCTCGATGTACCGTAGATGATCTCCTCCATCAGCCCATACAGTAAGACAAGATCTTCACCTTTTCCCATAGGTTCTGGCCAGTGTCTTGGGAGATTGTGGGTTGAGTTAACTGTGGGCCCGGTGTGCTACAGAGAGAGCATGCCCAGTAAGTACCAGTGTCTCAGAGCCGTCTGAAGCTAGTGTCTGAGTCTGCATAGTTATACTAGGGGATACATACCCTCTTGGATATAGGAATTTCTGAGGTGCAGGCAGGACACTAATTACAATTGAATATTGCAGGAATTAATGCTCCCGGTTGCACGTGGTTTCCGAGGGGAAGTCCAAAGGGGCTAAAGCTAGGCTTAGGAAGTTGAAGATCAGGATATATGCTGCAACACCAAGTAAGTTAGTCCTTTATACGTGCATGCAGGCGAGGTTTCTTGCAATACCAATCATTTGTGAAAATCTGTCCTATAAGCCACTTGTGAGGCTGAGGTACCCACCTCAGAGCTCGGTGTCAACAGAGTTTGCCAGGGTAGGCGACTCACTTGGAGGCAGTCCACACAAATTTTCACAGGCACTAGTCAAACCTACAATACAACCATGGCCTTTGGGTAGAGGAGTCTGGCAGGAGAGAGTAGTTGCTTGGGGGGCTGGACACTTCGCCGCACGGAGTAAAAAAACAAAACTCGAAAAAATACGAAAATTGAGTTGTTAACAAAAAATAGCTGAACTTTCTGGCTACACTCTGGTAAGTAAGTAAGTAAATAAGTAAGTTTATTCAGGTATACACAAATACAGTTACATAGAATTATTATACATAGCAGCATATGTGTAGAGAACCTAGGATAACCCAAAAAAGTCAGACAGAGTGACTTATTTCCATTGGGGTCCTTTACTTATTTCCATTGGGGTCCTTTACTGGTATAATTATTATCCTTGTACGATGTTTCTAAAAGGAATTATAGTCATTTATAACAAGCATGGTGACAGCTCCTTGCGTAACAAGCGCTGATGTGGCATTTTTTTTTCCCCCGTGTTATTTTTATCATTTTCTTATATCTTTATGTCTAATATAATACAAATTCACCATCTGAGATCATGCCAGAGTGGGCGGAGCTAATATGGTCAAGGAACCAATCAGAAACCTCCACTGGGAGCAATGCCCAAAATGGCCGACACCTCCAGCCAACAAAATATTCCATACCCATGCTAATATCAAATATAAGGCTTATTTACCTGTCACAATTGATCTGATATGACATAATGCAATATAATAATAGCATAGAAACATAAAAAGTACACCAGAAAAAATAATATATAGCATAATATGACGCCCCAGAGGAAAAAAAATTCTAGCGATATATCCCATGAAGGTGAAAAGACCCATTCTCTCATCAGTGATAAGAGAAAACGTAGATTTACACTGGTTAACTGTAATAAACACTCGTAGGTCACGGAAAAAATGTAAAAGAAAGCGAATTTTTCTGGGAAAAAAAAAATCCCCAGGCACCTGGGGTGCCGCGCGCTGCGGCCTATATCTCCGAAGTAAGTTATTTACCTATTTAGGGGCGCTCCATCCTTATTTATGAATGAATTGACTTGATTTTCACAACAAACATAGAAGAATGATTCCTTTACTAGTTTCTGTGTACCTCTCTGAAGTATCCCAAACATTTTTAGATTTGTGTGGGCAACAAGACCGACATCTTCCAAAATGTCAAAAAAGTTATGAACTTTATTTTTTTTAGCATGAAGATAAGGTTCATTTTAGAAAAGGTACATGTAACTTAATGGAATTAGAAGTGTTCTATCAGCAGCAAGTGTCAAAACCACTTTTCCAAGTACCACTGAGTCAAAACCAAGTGCCAAATGTAATTTTTCGTAAATTTTGCATATTTCATTTCCTTTTTGGTCGATATGTTTGAAACTTCAGCACAGCATACTCGATATAAGCTTCTAATAGTACACCAAAAATGAACGTAATC